TAATATTTTAATATAAGCCAAGAACATTTAGACAAGAATTAAGAATCGAGAACGGTACGATGAATCGTCTTCTTTCTATAATAATTTAAGAAAACGTCAAGACTTCCGCGCTTCGCGCGGGAGGATGGAAACTGAATTCAGACAACGATTAAGAGTTGAGAACGGTACTACAAACCGTCTTCTTTCCCTAATAATTAAATTAAACGTCTGAGCTTTCGCGCTTCGCGCGGGAAGGGGAAACTAAATTTAGACAATTAGGGTTAAGAGTCGAGAACGGTACAACAAATCGTTCTTTTCTCTAATATTTTAATGAAACGTCAAAGCTGCCGCGCTTTGCGCGGGAAGGGGGGGGGGAGGGGTTACTGAAGGCAGACAATTAGGGCTAAGAGTCAAGAACGGTACAACGAATCGTCTTCGTCGTCGAGGGAAATGACCATTTGCGCATACGCAAGTACAATAGATAGTTTATAGGAAAAACAATTTAGCCTTAGGCCCCGGGTTTATAGAGTTACATTTGTAGACACTGGGACATTAAATTTTGTCGGTAATTGGTGGCTAGTTTTGTCGGTAATCGGTGGCCTTTACACCCCCACTAGCGACGCCCCTGGTTGCATCTCCATTTCCATGTTACTTCCCTGGATATTCAAATTAAAGAAATCTAGAGTATGGAAAATGACGCAGAATGGGGAAAGGGAAATGTGGTGGCTTTGGAAAAACAGTTCGTAATAAATAAATCTTTTGCTTGTCGGGTAGTTTATTTTGAGTTAAGAATCACCAGTCAATAGCCTAAAAAAGGATCTTTGATAATTGTCTTATTTGTCTTGTCTAATTTACTATCGTCAATAGTACATGATACAAGAAATAAGTGTATTTTTTTTAATCTGACTAATGTCGTCAAATGTTATCAAAAAGAGATGGTTGTTGTGACCCCCCCCCCCCCCCCCCCACACACACACACCTGTGTTACAGTTATTATGTATAAAACGCTTTAGCGACCTTGGTACTTATGTGTCTCCATCTCTTCACGGTTGAATACTGTCAGTCTGAACCATATCGTTGAGGATGATGGAAGCAGCGATATGTATGTGTGTGTTGTGTGGGTGGGTGGGGTGTGTACCTTAATAATAATAATAATAATAATAACTATTTCTTATATGGCGCTTTTTCAGGAGGGCCTTATCAAAGCGCCTTACAGATATATATACTATTACCCCGGTCATCGGATTCAAGGCTTACCCGCACACAATGTATGCACATTCTCCACTCCCTGGGGAACATTCCAGCCAGGCGTCATTTTTACAAGCGCACACTTGCTAATCTAAGCACATTAGCTTTCGCATCCTACCGGGTACCCATTTAACACCTGGGTGGAGAGTGGCAAATGTAGATCAATGTCTTGCCAAAGGACATTAGTGCCGCGGTGGGACTTGAACCGCGGACCTTGTGATCCACAGTCCGGTGACATATCCACTCGTCCACGACACCTCTACCTTATACATAAGAAGTTTTTATCTAATGAATTTTTGTTTGTACTGATATGTATTTAAATGGTGCTATTCCAGTCTAGACATTTGATTCTATTCAATTAACGTATCTACTTTTATACAATGAAATAAAATTGGAAATAGTAATGGCCATTTTGGGCGCCATTGTGGATTTTGGAAAGAGCTCAAGTGGTTTTACTGCTACTTGTGTGTTTCAAAATGTATTAATGCGTATTTGGTTGAGTTCCTTATGCTGAAAAACATAGACATTTAAATTTTGTATTTGGGTTACCTAGTTGCACAGTAATAAGAATTCAGAAAATGGCGGCCAAATTGGTCTCGAATGGCGGACATTGTTTTTTAAAAATTGTTATACATTACCATGCCAACATTATTATTTGCTTGCGCTTTCTCAGCTCTGCATTCATCAGTAATTCATGATCACGCACTTATCCTAATCATAGTAGAATTAAATGCGGTTTTCAAGAATGAAACTAATCGAGGTGCCGACATGGCTCATTGAATATATAATAATGATGTTATATGTCGTGCATGGTGCATTGCACTTCTGGTCTCCATGGCGATTATTCTACTCATCTCGTTTCTATTTGTTACCAATGCTGAGAAATAATGGTTTCATTTTGGAAGGTTTGAAGTTCAGTGAAAAGTTCTATCTTCAACTATTGGCCCATCGCTACACATAAACGTTATGAAACTAAACACAAACCACAACCCTAACCCTGAACCTAAACTAAAAACCAAATAGACATTCTTTTCCGTCTCTCCCCCCCCCCCCCCCCCCCCCTCTGTATGTCTCTCACCCTCTCTACGTAATTATGTCTATCTCCATTTCTCTTCTGCTCTTCCACTGACGAATCCCTTAAACCCTCCTTTGAATTCCCTCTCGTTTTCCCTCCCATCTTCATGTTCTCCTACATGTACCTCCTTCCTTGCTATTTTATCCTTCATTTCTATATCATTCATTTTATTTTTGTTACATCTTGTGCATCGCCGCGTTAACGGCGTGGTTGGACTCCATCTATGCTTTATAATATGTTTACACTATGCATTAAGGTACCAAAGCAAACGTATAATGAAAAAAGGAAGGAAGAAAGATTAAGAAATAAATGAAGAAAAGCTGTTTTGTATGGGAGTACCTAAATGAGGGCTTAATGTAGACTATCCTGTTGAAATATAACTGTCATGAATATTATGATATGATGTAACTTTTGACTTACTATACTACATGTCATTAAATTTTGACCTACCCACTTCCGCATTTACATCTTACAATATGGTGACTTTTCTTCTCTCATTGTCTGTCAGCATTCATGAATGAAAATGTGAACTTGAGTATTAGCTTTTTGATAAATCGAGCTTCATCATTGCCACGTTAAAAAAAGTAAACGAGGGAAAAGATATAGTGACGTCGTCAACTAAGGAGGCCATTGACATTGATATTTCTTCATCTATTTATTATGTTGCGCATTTAGCAATACATATTGGCCTCGAATAGCAGAAATTGTTTTTGAATAATTGATCCGTATCACTATGCCTACCTTATTATTTGCTTGCTCTCCCTCGGCGCTGCATTCATCAGTTCATGATCACCTACTTATCGTTATCATAGTATAATTAAATTCGGTTTTCCAAATTAAACTAATTGAGTTGTTCATGAAATGGCTCATTGAATGGATAAATTATCAATGATGATTAAAATAATATGTCGTGCACGATGCATTGCAGCTCTGGTCGCCATGGCGTTCTTTCTTTCTCATCTCGTTTCTATTTGTTACCAATGGTGAGAAATAATGGTTTCATTATGGCAGGTTTTCAGTTTAGTGAAAAACTCATTTAAAGGTGCTATGTCCCATTTGCAGGCCAAAGAAATGAAAAAGTTAAATTCCAACTGCATTTGAAAGATAATACTAATTAGAACTTCCCTGAAAAAGGTGGGGCTTGAAAATGTCTTCAAGTGGGAAAATAACGACTATTAGTTGTCAAATCGACTTTAGGGCTATAGAGCCCAAAAGTAATAGTCTTGATTTTCAGACAATTGTACCGAATGGTCATACGTTTTATGCTGCGCAAAGATTCAATCAGTTTAATCTTGGCCATCACAAGAAGTGGGTTATTGATGTAGACAAATGCTCATGTACCCTTTACAACTCTTTTCATGTGTGTTATTACCAAAGAAGAAAAAAGCCAGTCAATCACTCGATAGTGTCTGACAGTGAAGTCTAGCAAGTAAACGGGTTTCCTTGCATAATTTGAATATGAGGACACTGCTAACGTTTAAATTTCACAGATAGGACATACGTGACATATTCATAATTCCTGCAAAGTTCCACAGAATTTGAGGTTAGCTGCAAAAGGGACATAGTACCTTTAAGGGTAGTTTATGTCCTATGGGGGGGGGGGGGGTGGGAGCTATTAATACAAATTGAATCATATTATTTGTGTAAGATAGGTGACTCAGTGGAAAGGATGAAAACCCTCATACTTTGACGGTTATACAATTTTAAGATTTGCACTGTTTGCCTAAATATGTGATATAATAAATCTCCTGGACATAGTGTCGATAGTCAGAGTACATTGATGAGCATTAACCAAACTACCTCTATTGCAAGGTTGTAGTTATTAATAGGGTATTTTCGGTATTTAAATTCTCAATATTTCTTAACAGAAAGACAGTAAAAGTTCATTGAATATGTTATAAAGATATTAACCCATAAACATACAAAACAAACTACTGTTTGGAAATCGTTCCTCTTTGCTAACCTTTTTCTAACCGCATAGCATTATTTGGTTTCAAAACATAATGCGAAATCATTACAATAGATCGTCTCTTTTTAGGGGTAACACATAATTTAATTTCACAGCAACCAACAGCAAAGTAGGAATGAATGCTCTATTTTGCAACAAAATGCAACTTTCTAAATGTAATGGAGTCTGACCAATGCTGAGCAAACAAAGGCCTATAATATCGCCACGAGATGACAGTATACATATCCAATCATCTGTACTGTCAGAAGACTGGGAATCAATTTCTGTACATTATGATTAAATAAATATTTCCAATACCCATACACATTTTGCACTCTACAGGATAAATACAAATATATCCCACTCAAAACATTAAATGCATGGCTGAAATTATAGCCTGCAATAAGTCAAAATGTCACGTTGACCTTACACTGACCTTAAAGGGGATTATTTCAACATTGATGTCACACAGAAGAATCCCTTGAAAAAAAATTTCAAGGGATTTTCTGTCTGACATCTCCCATGGTGTTATATTGCTCTGGTATAAGCAATATAACACTGAGCTCCTATAGGAAGTCTTTTCATTCAGATAGTCATATCTCAGCCAATACTTAACCTTTTTAACTGGTTTTCGACGTTTGGCCATTATTAGTTATGCCCCTATCGGAAAATGAAGAAAAAAATTGAGAAATTCTAAAAATAGATTTTTTGATGACGTCACACTCCACCACTCAGGCTCAGCAAGGTATATGGCTAAAGTACATGAATTAGATCGATCTGGGGCTCACATGTGGGACTGAGCATCGTGTAATGAGGACGAAGCAATTCCAACGAAGCAGTCTTTTAATTATAGAGATAATTGATTGCCTTTGAAATAGGAATGTGTGATCGAGCCATTTTGAACATTCGCAATTGACAAAATCCTTGAAAGAATGAGCGTTTTGAAAGTTGCGACGAATGCTTTACTGAGCAGCGTTCGCTCCCAGAAGTGGTCGGCGAAGTTGCGGCTGAGAAGTCGACGCATCTGCGGTGTTCGGCCGCATCGAACATGGTAAGAGTAAGACCGAATGGAGCATGGAGTCTGTATCTGGCTAACTCGGAACCGGGGACAACTCGCCTGCTGCAAAAAAAGTCAGTCTTTGCAGGTTTAGAATTAGGGGTGGGGTAAGGGTAAAATGACAACAAAAATGACCGTTTTTGCAGCGGGGCCTAGTCCGGATCCCACCGGTCTACATTACGGTACTTAATACAAGAGCGCCTGGTTTATTAATGTTATTAGGTTGTGGGTAAAAAGGAAGTCTTTTCGCCAGGTGATTTGTGCACATTTCATGAAATTGAAGAGTATCAAAGAAAGAGTATTACATAATGGAGTCAGGCTTACTCGGACCTGGGGACAACTCGCCCCCTCTTCCCCCCCCCCCCAAAAAAAAAACCCCAAAAATGGTCAGTTATAGCAGGTTTAGCAGGGGGAACTCAAATTTGGTTTGGACGGGGTGTGCTTCAAAGGCAAATTAATCCTCAAAACCCCTACCCATTTCTAAGGGTCATTTGGGGGGATTTTTGTATCAAATAAAGCCCATTTTTCAATATTTACAAGTGTTTACCTTGGGGGGGGGGGGGTACTCAGATTTGGTTTGGACAGGGTGTGCCACTGCATGAAGCCTCAAAACTCCTACCCATTTTTAAAGGTCATTGTGGGAGATTTTTCTCAAAGTAAAGCCCATTTTTTCATGATTTTCAAGATTTAAAAAAAAAAATGAAATTACGGAACCATGTTTAGGGATATTATTGTTAAAAATGAAACCCATGTTAAGGTATTTATTGTAAAGCGGCACACCACCGAAAATATCCGGGGGATACCCATCTCAAAATAAAAACTGATTCATCGGTCATGAAATGAAATACTCACAATTGTATTTTACAAGTAATTCTATGGTTGAGCTCCATAAATTGTGAAGTATATCCCATCTCTTTTTCCCTAGCTACTACTTTCACTCTTTTTTTGTATTTCTTATTCACTAATTACATGTAATTGCAGTTTTCCTAAATTTACTTTTTTTTTTTAATCTGTTAGAATTGTGACTAAGGCTATATGTATGTCTTGGCTCCTTCTCTCGATATCTAGCTGGTAAGCTCTTCGTGAACGATTTAGGAAAATCAGAGACATCTCCGTAGTTGGCGGATAAAGTTATGAGTTTCAAAAAAAAGACCCCAGGGAGCTCCGCTGCCGAAGAAGCTAATCCAATTCAATCCAAAAAAATATGTAAATCGGACCAAAAATATAGAAAGTTATGAATCGATGTTTGAAATATGAGAGCGCCAATTTGAAGATCCCACACCTATAGCGATTACGGTAGAACTTTTTTCAATGGTAACTTTCTAAAATATCTCTGATTTCATTCAAACTTTCACTCAAACTTTCACTTCTCTGATTTGTCTGCTTTCCTCTAGAGTAGGTTACTATCAAGGATGGATATCCCCTTAAAACTATATTCTACCTACTTTTTTGTTGTCTGCCTGCAGGAGAATAATAACACTACCTATCATCCTGCTCTTAATTGCTGTAGTGTCAGGTGTGAAGCCCCTTAATCTTTACTGCTCTGCTGTGGGGAATTTCTTTGAGAGGTACACAAAATTCAAATCAAATATTGTGTTTACATTACTGAATTATTATTGGTATGAATCAATAACACTTCCAAAGCTTTTACTTTCACACCTACTGATGGCAAAGTGTTGAGACCTGAGAGTCCATGTAATACATGAAATTAGAATTTTTACGCTTTAGAATTTTGGGGGTTTGGGGTGAAATCTTGGGCTCCTGTTTGTACCGAAGCCTAGCTTGTGCAAGTCCAGCAATAGGTTTTACAGTGTTATCATCTGAGGAGAGACAGGGTGATGAAATATATAATTGCGGCCCTTTTGGTTCTCAGCAGATAATTTGATTCCTCATCTAATCATCTTGAATTGAATGGATTGATTGATTCTTCTGTCATATTATAGAAATCTTCAATTGGTTAATTAATGACAGAGATCATGTCACAGGAGAATTAAATATACATGTATGTATAAAGCTCCTGTGGCATCATCTCTACAGTACGTAGAATACGTAAGGCTGTTATATGTGTGTCTTACAGTAGACACTTGAGCCTTCGAATACCCAGTTTCCAGTTAATTTCTTCAAGAAATGTTTTTGTTCAAATAAATGTGTTTCACTTTTATGAATCATATGCAGTTTATGTCTTTGAAATCAGGAGCTAGCCAAGATACTGAATTATTATTTGATCCATTACCAATGCACTCCCTCTCTCTCTCCAGGTATATCCTGCCTAGTAACCAATTCTGCACTGCTGTGCCTGACACAGAGAACTCTCTTCTCATGCAAGATGGCCTGCCCAGGTTCAGAGCATTCCATGCTAGCCACGTAGCTCCAGGGATGCAGAAGTTAGTCCACGACTTTGAGAGGGGTATTGGGGATATTGAACACACATACAAAGGTAGAGGATTGTCTTTCTTGTATTGACTTACAGATAATATTCTGGCTTAAAAGAAATGACTTATTCTTCAGGATTCTTTTACCCAAGATGTGTGATACAATAACAATAGTAATGTCACATTTGGTTAAAAAAAATAAAGTGCAAGTCAGTCTAAAGATAGTTAGTATAATTTCTTACCCAATATGAATATGAAGCAAATTATGTCAGCCTATTATGAGAAATATATGTAAAACTTCTTGTCATACATACATGGAGATATATGTATCCATATGTCCTTATGTCCTTACACAATTGTATTTGTTTACATGAGGTTGTTATCTTACTGGCACTGTGAGGGTTAATCATGTTTTGGTTGCCTTGCTTTTATCAGGTTATACTGCCAGTGATTTGAGCTGGCCCAAGGTATCAGACCCCTTGGAGAGGCTTGGTTCCCCTTTGGAGTTTGGCTGGGGTATGGTGTCACACCTCAACGGCGTCAAGAATAATCAGGAGCTCAGGGAAGCATACCAACAAGCTCAGCCATCAGTTGTCATGGTTTCCAGCAAGCTCGCACAGAGCGAAACCATCTATAATGCTATGAAGGCAAGTGCAATTCCCAGCATATTAACCGTAGACTACTGCATTCTCTAATTCCCATAGGCTTAATACAAGGACTTCTCAGTTCTCGTGGGCATTTATTTATTCATCTAAAATGTCTCATTCATAAATCTGTTACAGCCTGTAAGCAGATAACATAGCCTCTATATCTGACAAAGTATGTGAATCAATCATATTACTTTTAAGAAATACCTTGTATCCAGATGATGCAAACTCAAATTGAAATGAATATAGTACAGAACATGAATTTTGATAGAGAATGAACTGATAGAAACATATAATGTACAAATTCATAACCTGATTCATGAACTACTTTATGCTGTTTTTCTCTCTAAGATAATCCACAGTCTTGGTAAAAGTTAAAGGGGGAATATCAAAGTTCAACTACATATTTGATGTGCTCTGGAACATCATAAGTTTCAACAGATTTTTATGACTTCAAAATTCGTAGGAGATATCTATCTTTGTTATGGCAGAGTCTTTTTGTTGTGAATGCCTAATATATTGAATCATTTCCAAACGTGACATTCAGTCACTATGTCTGCCTATGTCAATATCTCTAAATCTGAAAATACTGAAACATTGGGAATTCTCAAAGGTGAAATGAAATTTTAGGTGCCCAAGTTAACCAGATCGCGGTTAGTGCTATAAAAATCAGTGCTGGTGTTTGTTTTAAAGGATGTGGTTACCTCTATAAGTGCAACGATTCATTCTGTCTGCTCGCATGTATTCCAACTTCTGAATCTGGAACCTGAATAATGACACATTTCAAATACACACCAGCTCGTAACCTTCGCTCACCGACTGACAAATATAGGCTACTTATTCCCAAATCCAGACTCTCAGCTCAGCTCAATGTTCTACAGTGGCTGCTTTGAAAACATGAAGCAATATTCCCCTTTCCATCAGAGAATTAAACTGTCTTGCTTCTAAGTTCTTTCAAAAGATCCCTTGAAACATACTTCTTTCCTCAGTGACCTTATGCGATTTACGTCTATGTATTTCATGTTTCTTCTTCACATTCTGTAATTTTGTAAGCACTGGGGAATTTTTTTATTTTAGTGCTCCTTTATTGTTTTTGTGCTCCTTTTTGTTTTAGTGCTCCTAATGATCGATATCAATATTGGTTGTATGTTTCAGGAGCTGTTACAGCATGCAGATAGCATGAACTTTGACACTCCACAGCATAGAATACTAGAATCAGCAGTCAGACAAGCCAAGCAAGGTGGAGTCGAGCTGACAGGCAAAGACAAAGAGACATTTAATCAGATCAGGCTACAGTTAGCCAAGCTAAGCAATGACTTTAGGTGAGACAAATTCTGTGTATACATACATGTACATGTCGATCTAGCCATGTCTCTTGTGAGATCTTCTCCCAAATTTATTTTTCAATAACTGTAGATTGTTAGTTTTGTCCTATGTCTAAATCTAGAAATTGTGAAGGTTAATGCTGTCAAACAAGAAAAACTCAGACTTGAGATTTTCGTTCTGGAAATTTATAATTTCAAATTACAGCACTGAAGTGTTTTATTTCATGATACATGTAGTTGTTTGCTGAAGAAATGGTCATTGTTAACCATTCACAATTGTGTCTGGACCCCAAAAATGCATGCATTGTACATTATCTAACCATATGTTTACTTATTTTGATCAAATCATTGTAGCAACAATGTTCTTGATGCTACCAAGGCGTTCAGCTTAGATCTCAATGATGAGAAGGATGTAGAAGGTTTACCTGCTTCTCTCAGACAACTCATGGCTGTTTCAGCTGCCTCTCCTGGGTCTCAACAGTAAGTCAGTGTAATGATAATAATAATAATAATAACAATAAAAATTTGTAAATAGCGCTTATTACAATCACTAAGCGCTTCCAAACTTGAAAATTATTACCCGGCTTTAGCTGTGCTGCCATTAAAGCGCTCTAGCATTTCAAAGAATTAATTCCTGCCAGGTACCCATTTACATCACCTGGGTTGAGTGTGGCAAATATAGATCAATGTCTTGCCAAAGGACATTAGTGCCGCGGCGGGTCTCGAACTGTAGACATTGTGATCAACAGTCTGGCGACTTAACCACTCGACCACAGCACCTCTACTGTGTAACACAGAAATACTTGGATATTGAATTGAATTTTTTTAAGGTTTATTAATATTCAAAGTTGCAGCTCAGTTAAAACTGATACCTGTACATCTTGAATTTACGAATCAAACTGCATCCTATGAATACATGCAAATGCATCATATAACTAAATGTTCAGTAATGTTCAGTAGAGATTTGATGGAAAATAGAGAATAAGGGTTTGGATGCCGATGGGTAAAGTGAGGAAGATATGAGCACAAAAGATGAGACTTACAAGTGTGTTGATGCAAGTCTAACAATACATCGTTTGTATTGTATTTTGAATGTCATAATATCCTATCTAAAATGATTTACATCAAAATTTGTTTCCAACAAAGAAATAAGACAAGCTGTATATTTGATGTATTCTGATACTCTTGGTAGAATCTACAATCTCTAATTAGATTTCTGTGATAAAAGCAATTCAATAGTCATCCCCAAAATCTTAGAAACCTTACCAGTATGTTCTGATATTTGTTGAGTTTGATTTTGTTGTAATAATTTTGTTTCACCTTCCAAGTTAAAAATAGCTACAGCCAAGTGGAAACATAGTACATGTATAACAAGGTTATTGGCCCTAATTCACAAAGGAGGTTTAAATTTAACCCATGGTTTATATCTTCATTTACATAAACCATGGTCTAAAATTAGTGCAAAATAAGCGTGACACAATCAGAGGTCCAATATTAGACGTACGATTATTTTGCGCTCATTTTTAAACCATGGGTTATGTAAATGAAGGTTTAAACCATGGGTTAAAGGTAATACAAAGTTTTGGGAAATTTTGAAATTGGGTGGATAGTGATTCTTTACGATTTTGTTATATTTGGATGCTCCTGTGGATGTATTATAAGCACTAGAAAATTTAGCCCCTGAAACACTTCTGCTTTCGAGAAAAATTGAATATAAAAATTTCGGTGCTCCCGGTAAATTTTGATAAATTTCAAATAGCACCTACGGCCGTACAATGGTAGCTGCGACCATGAAAATCTCAGAATATGTAGTTGTGATATATAATTTCCAACTGGTAATAGCAAATCGGTCGATTTTGGTCCGGAAACATTGTTTTACAGCTTAATTTATATCTTGACCTTGAGAGGAAGCTATACAACATAAAGAGTTTTTATCGACAATTTCTGACTTTAGACTCGATTTCAACCGCGACAACGATCACTGAATATTGTAGGATCGCATATGGTTCCAATGTGTTCATATGGTTCCAATATGTTCATTTGAACCAAATTCATGACCCCATGCCAAAACTTTGTATTACCTTTAAGTTAAACCTCCTTTGTGAATACGGGCTATATGTTTACGATTAATATGTTTAAATATGTTGATACTCAAATTCTTCTTGAAAGATAGCCAAAGAATAATAAATCAGAATGACAGAATTACATTGTATAGAGGATTGAAAAGTGAGACAAGCGTATGTTTGTATTTTCATTTCAGGGTAGACCCAGATCAAGGTCCATGGAAGTTGACCCTTGACCTTCCATGTTTTGAGCCGTTCATGAAGCACAGCAGACGTCGTGACCTGAGAGAGATAGTCTATAGAGCTTATGTGACCAGGGCCTCCAGTGAGAGTCATAACAATAGTGGCATCATAGAAGATATAAGAAGACTCAGGTATGGAGGACAGATTCTTTGTTACCGGTATTTGGTTCTACTTGGAAAATAGGAGCAAATTTGATATGTCGTAATCTCCACGCTTTATTATCTTTTGTATCACTAGCCAGGTAAATACTTTTACTACATTGTGTAAGCCATAAATATTTCTGCAACTTGCAGGGGCAGATTAGCAGTAGGGACATTTTAGGTCTTCGGTGGACACCAAGTGTTTTTTTTTAGTTTCAGGTTTTAGTTGATTTGTTGTGGGAGAGTTTGCTAATCAAAATGAATTGATTATAAAGTACCTAACCACAGAGTAGTTTGTTGCTGTAATAATCCTAGACAAATTTAAAATCATCCACAAAGTTTGCCACTGACCAATTCTATCTTGTAATATTCACTAAACATATGCATTGTATAAGTATATGTTTATAACCTACAAATATGTTCATACTTGACCTCCAACAGAAGAGAGATCTCTGCATTGCTCGGTTACAAGGATTTTGCTGCCCTCTCTCTTGAATCTAAGATGGCTGGGCAAGCAGAGAATGTGTGGAAACTCATCCATAACCTGAGAGACAGGAGCAAGGAAGCAGCAAAAAGGTAGGTCCTTGATGTCATATGGATACTAACCATGTGGATAGGATACCTTTGATGATGTAAGTTCCTCAAGTCAATCTTGTTCAAATTTTGTTATTTCAAAGTAGATAACGCTATAAATATATATATACCCCTGGTTTATAAAGGTAGATACTGAGGCGCGGATCCAGTCGGCAGCAGGGGAGGGGGCCCAATTTTTGAGAAAATATTGAGCGATTCAGCCAGCCGGTGAATAAGCGGGGGGGGCACTTTTTTGTTTAGCCCCCAAAAATTTGCAATTCAGGGGGGGGGGGGGGGGGGGGGTAGTGATCATCACCCCCCCCCCCCCCCCTGGATCCGCCACTTGCAGAGCTTATATCTTTGGTGAAGCCATAACAAAATCTGTGGGGAATTGCTACCGTTATGAGAGTCATCTTCTGCGATAAGGTTTAAATATGGAGGTACACATTTTTTCTTGTCCTAGGGAGTTGTCTGAGCTGCAGTCTTTTGCATCTTCTAATGGTTTCACAGAAGACCTGAATCTGTGGGATCTCTCATTCTGGGCAGAGAGACAGAGGGAACATCTCTTCAGGTTTGTATATGTTTTTGTATTTATTAAAACACTTAATTCACATGGTACATGAATATTTTGTTTAAAAGTACATAGACATGTACAAAAATGGAGATTTTTTTTTTTGAAAAGAGATACATGGAAACAATTATATTGGTACAAATATGTGTTTATTCATTACTTCAAACTACATTAAATGATTAAAAAATGACCAACAGTAATTCATATAAAATTTTGAGATATGACACAACACATAACAGTTTTTTACTTGCTGAAAATGTACGTTGACAGGCTGTTAGTTTCATTTCATGTGATTTCATGTGATTTTAAAGTATTCAAGATGATAAACACTTAGCATAACATTTTGAGTTACATGTATTATTCACGTATTATTTCATTCAGGGTCTCTTTCTTGATTCTCCTCCTGCTTGTAAACTTGTGTCATTAAATTTTTGTCAAATACTCTGTTTTTCATTAATTTATTATAACAGTAACATACATGTAGAAATTACTAGTATATTATTGTATTTCTTGTTCCATAGCTTTAACGATGAGGATTTGAGGCCCTACTTCCCACTCCCCAAGGTATTAGAAGGGCTCTTCAATCTGACTTCATTCTTGTTCTCTGTCCAGATACAGGTTGGTATTACTCATCTTAGTTTTCTGTAGATTAAGATGTGAATATTCAGATATTGTATGCTGATGAATGTGAAAAAGTTCAGATATGGGGTGGTAAACCACAGTGCTTTTAAATATATGTGGTAATAAATGGCAGCTGTGCAAAACAAAGGTCCTGAGCGTATTCACTGAGGTGTGTTATAAGATATAGAAATATGAAGAGCATATTTTCACTTACTGTACATCATATTAAAAAAAGCCATCACAATTTACCTCATATCGGAGCAAGGCTTAATTGTGAAATATGCTCTTGATAATATATTCATGCATCATTCTATGATAAAAGAATGATTTGGTTATTTTCATCCCTCTGCATCACAACTATAATGCGCTCTATCAGTACCTGCATGGCAGATTAATATACCTATTGTTAAATGATAAACATCAGGTGGTTTGGTCCTGAAATGTCATAATGATTTTCAGTACTAGTACAAGATATGGATCGGTGGATACGTCACCGGACTGTGAGTCACAAACATTAATGTACGTTTGCCACTCTCCACCCAGGTAAAGTAAATGGGTACCCGATAAGAAGAAATTCCTTGAATGGTTTAGCACCTTTTTTTGGCAACTCAGCTACAGCCAGGGTAATGATATGATACCTTGTATAAAGTGCAGTAGAGAACATTCATATAGAAGCTGCGCTATATAAATTGACCTGTTATTATTATTATTAAATATACCATAATAGTTGCAAGGAGAAAATACCAAATGCCCTAATTCATTTGATGTTTGTTTATAGCATACAGCAGATGGTGAAGTTGAGAAATGGCATGACGATGTGCAGTTCTACAAGATTTTCAGTAACAATGGTAAATCCATTTCAAATATGATTTGAAATGAACATTTATTGTTTAAGTTCCCACTTCTCGATGTTGCATGTCTTGATTTGGAAATAATTAATAATCAAAGATTACTGAATAGCATTTTTTTAATATGAGGTTTTGCTTATTGCAGTCATTAACATTTTAATTTTTCGTATCTCCTGTTCTGTCTTTCTTGCCACTCCTCATTCTGTAAAGTTTAAGTTACTTCAATATAAATTGTGGGATGGAGTACATTTTGTACATTCTTTCCTTCATCTTCATTTTGCTTTCATTTTATTGTCACTTATTAGTTTACAATAAACATAACTAGCCTACTAATGAACAGCCAACAACAATGCATAGTAAAGATCATGCCAGTTTGCATAGTTTCCGTTGATGGTGTTATATGGTGGTGTCAATTTATATATCCTTTCTAATGAAATTTATATACCGGCATGTGATATTGTTTTACATTTATATTTGTGTTGTGTTTGTATCCTTTCTAGGAGAGCACATAGCATCGTTCTACCTGGATCCATATTCCAGACCTGCAGAAAAGAGAGGAGGGGCTTGGATGGACCAATGTCAAGGTAATTTAAATTAAAATATAATTGATTTATATAGGATGTGTAAGCAATGGATAGAGAATGGTTATAGGTACAGAGGGAACAAAAGAGATCGAACCACCTCCAGAGAAGACAGATAAACATGTAGAAGAAAAGAGAAAGAGAGAGCAGCATTAATTTTAAGTGAAGACCTAATGAAATCAAAAGTGGGAGAAGGGGAAAATGAAATCACGACGGAAAGACTTGTGTTAAAAAATATAGCATAAACCGATGTAGATAGATGGCTATATGAATTTGATAACCAGGCTTTTATAATAAAAGGTACATTCATGTAGCACAGCTACTATCTGAAAATTCTCTACTGTGCTCAGTAAGGTGCCAAATCCACTTTAAAGCAAAGGCCTACCAGGTACCCATTTACCTCACCTGAGTGGAGAGTGGCAAATGTATATAAATGTCTTGCCAAAGGGCATTAGTGCCGCAGCAGGACCCACAGTGTGGTGGCATATCCACTACTCCTCAACATCTCTACTATTAACACGATCACGGGACAGTATCTAAATGCTACTTATCTTCATCAGTGAAATAGTAATTGCATTACTGTACTTTTACATAATTTGCCTTCATTTCTCTGTAATTAATGTTTATAATGGTTGATTATTATTAATTTTGTCCTTATTTTTATATTTCTTTAGTTCATGAATTAGTAGTTATGTGTAATTTTGTTGTATTAATATTGTAAAGCACATTGGTATTTTCTTCGAAGATGAAATGCGCTATAGAAGCCTAGGCTGTTATTATTATTATTATTATTATTATTATTACTGTGATATATTATTATTGAAGAAAGAAAATTAACAGATGATGATATGTGGGTTCCATACTGAATTTTCAAAATTTGGTCATAGTTGGCAGATTGCAAGTAAATGCAACCAAGGAACCCATGAAATTATTTTAAAAAGTGATCAACAGTATTTTTTGTTGTTGCTTTTAGAGCAATTTAACCATCTGCTTTATTCCATACAAACATTTGATGTCACAGGTAGGAGTGAACTACTAGGAACGAAGCCTGTGGCATACCTGGTATGCAACCAAACTCCACCTCAGAAAGACAAGCCTTCGTTGATGACATTCAGAGAAGTTGAAACACTCTTCCATGAGGTAGGACATCATGATCAAGAGATATATATTTTGTTTGATGTCAGGAATTTGAGATTTACAGTTTTTCTCCTTCTTCCCCTCCACCTTCTCTTCCTTCTTCTTCTTCTTCTTCTTCTTCTCCTTATTGTTCTTCTGTTCTTCTTCTTCTTCTTCTTCTTCTTCTTGCAAAAAAGTATTAAATGTGAAATATTGTGGAACAGGTACCGGTAAACAAAAACCAAACTGGCCATTTGTCAACTTCAGACAGTTGACCTGTAATGCATAAGATCATGTACTTGTTGTACCTTCTTTAATGTGTAATCCCTCAACCATTATGTAAGACAACTGGAGGGTTGAGAGCGTCCCATAGATGGGCCCTTAATAAAACCTCATGCCCTTTTGTTAATGGATTTATTTAGGGATTATGCCACATCAGTTGAGTGCTTATCCTTTCACTAAGTTGGTTACCCCATTTTATGGCTCAGGGAGTAAGCCTTTATGTTGAACCATGCAGGAGCGAGACTATATCAGGGACCCTATTATGGACAAGCTCATTATGTTTCCAGGAAGAACTAATCAAGATTGAAGCTGAGATAATCGTGTCCATTGTGATCCTTGTTGTAGAGATGACTTTGTGTTTGGAATGATTGGTCATTGTGCCTGATCTTCAATGAAACTCACATCTTCATGATAGGATGCTGGCCCTTTGGAGACTACTAGAAGAAGTAGTATTAGCTTTCCATGTGTATTTATGCAACACATTTTTGGTGGACATGTCACATGTAAAGTTTAAAGTGGTCACAGTATGATACAAATATTTTCAATTGAAAGTGTTAATGTGTGCATAGAGTTTACAAGTATGCTCAAACGCTTGTAAAAGTGTACAAAAACAAAGTGATTTTCAACAGACATATATATATATATATATATATATATATATATATATATATATATACATATACATGTTTTGTTTCTGGTTGCATTTGTGCAACACCCAGAGATAAATTGTTATAATAAAATTTACCCTAAATGACCTAAACTGTTCGATAATGGATTAGTACCAGACTGAAGCTGTGCACGTCCATCTTCTCTCACCTTAAACCTAATGTATAGACTCATCATCTTAGAGTCATTCAGTGCCTGCTGTTTTTTTATTAGTGACCACCCATGTAAAAAGACAACCTGTCTATAAAGGCCACATTTTTCAATTTCCCTCAAGATTGTTTCCCAGTAAAATGTGTACTAAAATAACACGTGCATACAGACAACCTGCCTATAAAGACCACTTTTCTTGTTTCCCTTGAGTGGTCCTTATATGAAGGTTTCACTGTATGTTGAATCTGAAACTATGGAGTCTAAATCTAATCATGACTCATAAACATTTGTGTGTATATAATGTTGTTTTGTATGTTGTTATGAATGCAGTTTGGACATGGTCTTCAGCACATGCTAACACAAGTACCCTATGCATCAGCAGCAGGAATCAACAATGTTGAGTGGGATGCAGTAGAACTACCCTCACAGTTCATGGAGAACTGGCTCTATGACCCTGAGACCATCGGTGTGGTCAGCAGTCACTACCAGACCGGAGAGAGGCTACCAGATACTCTCTTCCAACAAGTCCTTAAAGGTCAGTTCAATTAAATGAGTAGTAGTAGTAGGACGCAGTAGAGCTATCCTCACAGTTCATGGAGAACTGGCTCTATGACCCAGTGACCATCGGTGTGGTCAGCAGTCATTACCAGACAAGAGAGAGACTACCAGATACTCTCTTCCAACAAGTCCTTAAAGGTCAGTTCAATTAAATGAGTAGTAGTAGTAGGACGCAGTAGAGCTACCCTTACAGTTCATGGAGAACTGGCTCTATGACCCAGTGACTATCGGTGTGGTCAGCAGTCACTACCAGACCGGAGAGTGACTACCAGATACTCTCTTCCAACAAGTCCTTAAAGGTAGGTTCAATTAAATGAGTAGTAGTAGTAGGACGCAGTAGAACTACCCTCATAGTTCATGGAGAACTGGCTCTATGACCCACAGACCATCGGTGTGGTCAGCAGTCACTACCAGACGGGAGAGAGACTATCCGGTACTCTATTCCAACAAGTGCTCAAAGTTATCTAGATTTCATCTTCTCAATGCATGATGGATTTAAGATGGGGTGTAGGTTATGACCATGTTCAAGTAATTTCCCAGAAATGTTCAGAAGTGCACCATCATTAGGATTTATATTCTTTTCATAGCTGTACTAATAGACTAGGAATTATTTGACTTAGATTTGATTTGATTTGATTTGATTTATTGGTTTCATGTAGATAATTTTATACAGATAATGAACGATATTAAACAAATATATTGAATGCATAATTAACATACATTAGATACAGGAGGGCTACAGAAATAAGCAAAGTAGCTTGACATGCCCGCAGCCTTCAACTTAGATACAACAATACAAATAAAAATTTAAAAAGAGTGACTTGCCGAGAAGAAAAGGAAAGGGGAGAGAAGGAGCGTTGGTAATAATACAATACATCTCATACATCTGCTGATTGAATGCAGGTTCATTCATGAATGAAAAAACGATGCTAGGTCATGGATGATTACACATCATTGTTGAATATACAGTCAATGTACACACGAACATGAATACAGTAGAATTACACACGACATGATCAATACTTAGACAATAACATAGTTTTAACTGCCTTCTTAAACGAATACAATGTCCTAAGGTTTCTTATTACAATGGGTTTCTTATTAGATGTCATCAGAATGTCAACATCTCTTGTCAATTCCGTTGTTTATTATTGCTGTGTTCTGATTGTTCTTGGTAGCTCGAAAGTACATGGCAGGATCTGCAATGCTGAGGCAGCTCTACTTCTCTGCTCTGGATCTAGAGCTACATACAAGGTATCAACGTATTCTCAGACTACTTGATTGAAAAAAGAATCTTATTCATTCTTGATGGTTGTAGGACACTTGCTTCTACGACAATTACTCCCTGGTCAATTTCGTACAAGAACGGAAACCAAAACATTCAGCCCTGACCCTATAATAATAATAATAATATTTAATTTTTATATAGCGCTTAATACAAATATCTCTAAGCGCTTTACAAATATACTATTACCCCGGTCATTGGATTCAGTGCTTGCCCGCACACACTGTGTGCACAATCTCCACAATCTATACAATATGTCATCTTTAACCTTATTCTAATCCTGGACTAAAACATTGTTATATTTCTCACATTAACCCTGGGCAGTTGTCCCTTGAGCTAATCTCGGATCACCAGCCTACTCATTTCAGTTCTTCTGTATGCTGGTGTCTGTGGTTTGCGGTGTAAATTCTACTGTTTTTAGTTCCGTTGCTTTAGGACTTGAACTTAACGTAAATCTATAATCAGATGAAATTCAAAGTAGAAACGAAAATATATTCATATGAAAAAAAATTACATTCATATTTATTATTCGGGCTTACATTAAGTCTTAAAAGGTTATGTGATACCAAAATTTCAGGATCGTTATTCTCAAATGTTTTATTTAACGATGGTCAATACTTGAAAGAAATTTTTGGTGTACGTTTTTATTTAAAAGTAGGGTGATTCAGAATACACAACATTTTTGTTTGGATTGGAGAGCAATAGCTTATTACAAACCATTCAAATTCATGATTCTAAAATTACTATGGTATTGCAACATAATATGCATACTGTTATAGTGTTGCCTCTTAATCCATTCATTATTTTTGCCATTTTGCCTTATTTACAGTGATGACCCTTGGCTTGATGTAATGTCCAGAATAGCAGATGAATACACCGTCATCAAACCTCTACAGGTAATATATATTAGCGGTTTACAAACGTTGAAGAAAATAAGTGAAACTGACATTGATCCTGTCACAAGCTTTTTGTCACATTTTTTATACTGTGCATCTCAGAAAAAACGAAATTGAGAATTGTTGATGTTTCATCATAACTTAATCACAAGTATAATTAATAAATGACACATATTTGTAAAGCTTACATCCTCCTCTTTCATTTGATCAACTCATATGATGCATATTCCACGCATGAGTGATTGAAACAATTTGAAGAAAGGAGACTGAAAAGTCATTTTTAGGGCGGTATCTGAATTTCAAAGAGAAAATCACATTTCTAGAAAGTTCATTTTCTCCCCTTTCATATGACACCTCAATCAGGAAAAATGAGCCAGGAATAACAAAGTTCTGTTGGTTTAAAGTAATGCTTACATTTCCATAATTTTATTAAACAAATTTGTTCTCACTTGCTGCCTGCCGCAGCAACAAACAGAGTTGACAAAAGACTCAACTCCATTTCGTTGACGATCAGCCATGCATCAAGTCTTTCGTCTTCTTCAAAAGATCAGATTTTAAAGGTGTTTACAATAGGATGTAGGAATTAGATAGGGGGATTGCAATGATATCTGTAATGACACACAGTTGATATGCAGGTCACCGTACTAGGTATAGACTATTGGGTATTATGTCCTGGTTCTACAATTGAATTTACATCTCTAAAAAGAGTTTTACTTGATATTAACTCATGAATTTTTTTGTGCATAGTTTATCCTTTAATTTGTTTTCATTTGAATCCAGGAGGATCGTTTTCCATGTTCATTCCAGCATATCTTCTCTTCTGGATATGCAGCTGGCTACTATTCTTATAAATGGGCAGAGGTAAGCTATCATTCTTCCCATGAGACGTTTAATATATTGACATGGAAATATGCTATGAATCTTTATTTCGTTCTCAAAAAATTAATTTACAACAGTTTGTAAAAGCATGAAGACTTTTAGACATGTATTTTTGTCATTTTATATGACCATTTTGTGGCTTCCAATAATTTAGGAGATGGAGATACATGCATATTTGCCAACCCTACCAAATTATCCAGAATATTCTGAATTTCTGGATTTTTAGGACCTAAACATTCAGAATATTCAACAACAAAATTGATGCTATTCATGTATTCATGTATTGCGTGCGTTGAATGGCTGCATGATCGAGCAGCGAATTTGTATTCACTTTTTTGTACAGATTTACCGCGTATTGCCAGTTACACTGCTGCTGCATGTGCGAACGCCTGTTAAGGGTACTAGTTTCTTGTATTTCGAAGTCACACTGTGTTCGAAATTCCTAATTTTTATTTTCAAATGTTGCAGGTATGTCAATGTACATGAATATGCGCCACAATTTACTACAAATTCTGATGATGTATACTTGCAAGACCAGAGATTTTGCTTTTGGTTAAGACAATTAGCTTGATTTCAATATCTTTCTTTGCCCATTACTCAACTATTATACTCAACAAAAATCATTTTCTACTTGTCATTCATCGTACCTTTGAAAATTTAGGTTTGTGTTTATTCTGTGAGAATTTGCTTTCTGCCAGTTACCTACTGTCACAATTCATTCACCTAAAACTGTGCCCTACATGTATTGGCATCTACCAATTTAAAAAAAAAAATATATATATATATATATATATTAGTCTGAGAGCAGAAGTGCACAATGGTCACCATTTCAGACTTATGAATCAGCTTGCTTTGAAGTTATTATTGTGGGTTAACTTATTGTTACATGAATTAAATATCTAGCATATTTTTAGGATGCTTTGCTCTTTAGTCAAATCAGTATTATATACACTTGCTAATGAATTTGTGTACCAGAATGAAATTTAGACAACATTTGTAATATTTGTGCTTTAGGTGATGGCAGCAGACGCGTTCAGTGCATTTGAAGATGTGGGTCTGAGTAACAGGGAAGAGGTAGCCAAAGTGGGAACAAGGTGAGTTTATTCCTTTACTTTCCTCCCGCTTTAGTAGAAACTCGAGAGTTGTATTTCCCCTGTGAGAAATGATACATGGATATTCAATTGAATCCAATACAGTCCAGTCCATAAAATACTTTCTTTTGTATATTGTCGTCTCCTTGCAGTTACACTCCTTACATGTACACTGCACAGTATACCCAACATGTATTTTGGCCTCTAATACAATAAAAGATCACTTCAAAAGAACAGTTGAGTTTATATAAAAGTCTATATTCCCTTTCAAAGTAGATGGGATTTCAGGAGTTTCTTGAATTCTGTGTAGTATAAAGATTCAGCTGTCTTTAGGATGGTAGGTAGCTAATTCCACATGTACTCTAACCCTATCTAGCCCAGGCTATTTTGAAACTGCTTAACCCAGGGGGGGGGGGGGGGGGGTTAAATGATCTTGGCCCTTGAATGGCCGATCGCCGCAAACATTTGCATGCATGCCAAGTGAAGTGTATATAGTACTACCGGTATGGTAATTTAACTTTTTATGAAATATTCACCCATTTGCATATTTATGGTAATTTATGCAAATAAGGAAATCAAATTCACATTTTTACCTATAAATCATATATTCTTCATATTTAAACATTAGTTTTCACTACATATATTATTTAGACCATTTGGGATAATAATACAACATATAAAATTGGAAGAGCCAGGTTATTCATTATGTTTTCTATTGATTTGATAATTTCTTTTGTATTTTTTTTTTTTTCTTTAATATATGTATTTCATTGTTTTTGGAGTTTTTATTTAATTCTAACTATAATTCAACTATTTTGAATCACAAAATAAACACCTAAAAAATAAAACAAGACCAAATAACCAATGTTTTAACTCTTTCTTGAAAACAATGAGATTTCCATATGTTTTGTACACAAATCACGAAGATGAGCGATTTTCGGGCTGACATGCAACGGCAAAAGGTCACATGATTTTGTAACAGTAGGTCCGATTTTTCAAAAAATTTATTTCGAAAGATGCGCAAGACTCGAAAGAAAAAAGTCATAAAATTGGGCTAGATAGGGTTAATATGAATCACTCTAAATTGTCCAGTTTACAAAGATTTTCATTTTTTTAGAGAAAACAATATCTACTGTGATGAGTATATAAGAAAGATATTGATATTCCAAACTACGATTTAGAACAATTTAAAAATCTGTCATATCCTGGAGGCTTCTAAAATATGTTTATATATAATGTTTAAATTCCAAACTCATTTTGACCCAGATTCCGGGACACCGTTCTAGGAATGGGAGGTGGCACTCATCCTCGGGATGTCTTCAGAGAGTTCAGAGGTCGGGATGCAGAGGTCGGGCCTCTCCTGAGAACCTATGGACTTGCTTGAGGATAAATGAAGATGTTGTAAAGAGGAATTCTTCAACCAAAGATCGGCCTGAACGCTTCGTTTGAAGGGACGTGTCTTTAAAAAAACATGAATTGTAGCGACTCTACTTGTTTCTGTTTGAGGCACAAAATGTTTGATGGCTAGAATATTGAAGCTAACTGTAGCACAACAGTTATGAGCTACATGTGATGAAGAAACCTTGCGTTCTCTGCAGGCAGAGCATGAAAGCATTGATCAACATAATAACAACATTGCATAATATTTTATTCACCTCACATATTTAAAGTAAATCAACAATTTTATACTGATATTCATTCATGATGTCTTTCATCTAAGAAAGAAATTGAAATTGATAATAATAATAATAATATGCCTTGTTTACCCAGGGTAGCCTCATCAGTATTCATACTGTTCTCCCTGAGGGCCCTGCAATCATATTATTACCCCAGTCATCTGATTCAGGCTTACCCGCACACAATGTATGCACATTCTCCACTCCCTGGGGATCTTGAATAACCCAAACTGTCAGGCTTATTGGTGGACTATGAACTTTTTTCAAGTGATGTAATCATGAAAACATAATTATGCTCCAATTGTCTGCTCCATCAGCCCTTGTGGCATGAGGCTTTGGTCTGTTAATCAGACTTGGGCCCTATTTAATGAACAGTTGTGAACGATTCAAATTGATTGCAACATGATATCAATTGCAAGGATTTACTAGATAGGAGTTTGTGAATAAATCCAGAGCCCTGGTCAATGAAATGACCTTGAAGATTTCATTCTGTATTATAATGAGTCTTCAATACGACAACTCGATCTTCTAGGTACATGGAGTTGTGCACAGTATAGGAGAATTCTTCTTCTTTTTTTTTCATATTTTTTTTCTCATATTTATAACAATTTATTCCATTACGATCTTTAACTACCCCTGGCTCAGGATGAGGACTATAGCTACATGGGTCAAGCTTGCTATCCATAAGGACCATTATTCATAAGGACCGCTATCCATAAGGACCGTTATTTATAAGGACCGTTATTCATAAAAAACGCTATCCATAATGTGTGACTAAATGAATAGTGGTCTTTTATAAATAGTGGTCCTTATAAATAGCAAGCAGACCCAAGCTACATTTAGTAGGCTGAGATGTTCATGCGAGGAATAAAACATAGATAAGAGTAAATTTGAGTTAAACTCATGACCTGTAATTGATGAGCATCATCACAAAGAGCATCATTTACAACAGATGTGAATGGATTGTCTTTTTAATTAACTTCACTCTAAGAAGCATTAGCCTTTGCAGGCCTGATAATAACCTGATTTAAATTGGTTTCCCGGGTGTTTTTTCTTATCTTCCCCAATGTTTTTGCTTGTTTTTCTTCTTCCCGATTTGATCCCTATTTCCCCCCTATTTTCCCCTATTTTTCCCAATTTTCTTACTCAAGAGGGGGGGGGGGGGGGGGGGGGGGGGGGGCGTTCACATATTAAACAAATGGACTTTTACTCCTAAATCTTATATGAACTTATTCTACCAGATACTCACGATTTCAATTGAATTCTAGCTATCAGATTATGTTTCATGATTAATACTTCAGTTTGATTTAATGTTGTCTGTCGAAGATGAAATGAGGAAATACATGATATTTTTATTTCCTTAAAAATTTGTCAAGCCTCCTCTTTATACCTAGTTGATTATCATGATTTGTGATTTGAATATTTTGGATTTAAAAAAATAATTGATGGCTGTTTGATTGATTTAATGATGTATTCATCATGGTATGATTAAAATGATTTGATTTATTACGATTGATTAATTGAATGAGATGACTGATTTATTAGGAGGAGGGGTTTAATGAATAAATAAATAATTGGTGTATTGTTTAAGCATGGGTAGATTAAATGAATGCATGATTGATTGATTTAGTGATTTGAAGATTAGTTGATTGAATCAAGGCGATAGGAGGAGCCTCCTTGATTGATTGAATGATTAAAGAACTGGTTGATTGAATGAATGATTGAAGGACTTGTTGATTGAATGAATGATTGGAGGACTGGTTGATTGAATGAATGATTGAAGGACTGGTGATTGAATGAATGATTGAAGGACTGGTTGATTGAATGAATGATTGAAGGACTGGTTGATTGAATGAATAATTGAAGGACTGGTTGATTGAATGAATGATTGAAGGACTGGTGATTGAATGAATGATTGAAGGACTGGTTGATTGAATGAATGATTGAAGGACTGGTTGATTGAATGAATAATTGAAGGACTGGTTGATTGAATGAATGATTGAAGGACTGGTTGATTGAATGAATGATTGAAGGACTGGTTGATTGAATGAATGATTGAAAGACTGGTTGATTGAATGATTGAAGGACTGGTTGATTGAATGAATGATTGAAGGACTGGTTGATTGAATGAATGATTGAAGGACTGGTTGATTGAATGAATGATGGGAGGACTGGTTGATTGATTGAATGATTGAAGGACTGGTTGATTGAATGAATGATTGAAGGACTGGTTGATTGAATGAATGATTGAAGGACTGGTTGATTGAATGAATGATTGAAGGACTGGTTGATTGAATGAATGATTGAAAGACTGGTTGATTGAATGATTGAAGGACTCGTTGATTGAATGAATGATTGAAGGACTGGTTGATTGAATGAATGATTGGAGGACTGGTTGATTGAATGAATGATTGAAGGACTGGTTGATTGAATGAATGATTGAAGGACTGGTTGATTGAATGAATGATTGAAGGACTGGTTGATTGAATGAATGATTGGAGGACTGGTTGATTGAATGAATGATTGAAGGACTGGTTGATTGAATGAATGATTGGAGGACTGGTTGATTGAATGAATGATTGAAGGACTGGTTGATTGAATGAATGATTGAAGGACTGGTTGATTGAATGAATGATTGGAGGACTGGTTTATGAATGAATGATTGAAGGACTGGTTGATTGAATGAATGATTGAAGGACTGGTTGATTGAATGAATGATTGAAGGACTGGTTGATTGAATGAATGAAGGACTGGTTGATTGAATGAATGATTGAAGGACTGGTTTATTGAATGAATGATTGGAGGACTGGTTGATTGAATGAATGATTGAAGGACTGGTTGATTGAATGAATGATTGAAGGACTGGTTGATTGAATGAATGATTGAAGGACTGGTTGATTGAATGAATGATTGAAGGACTGGTTGATTGAATGAATGATTGAAGGACTGGTGATTGAATGAATGATTGAAGGACTGGTTGATTGAATGAATGATTGAAGGACTGGTCATTGAATGAATGATTGAAGGACTGGTTGATTGAATGAATGATTGAAGGACTGGTGATTGAATGAATGATTGAAGGACTGGTGATTGAATGAATGATTGAAGGACTGGTGATTGAATGAATGATTGAAGGACTGGTTGATTGAATGAATGATTGAAGGACTGGTTGATTGAATGAATGATTGAAGGACTGGTTGATTGAATGGATGATTGAAGGACTGGTTGATTGAATGAATGATTGAAGGACTGGTTGATTGAATGAATGATTGAAGGACTGGTTGATTGAATGATCCCATGATCTACTGCTTGTAAATTTTCCAGGGGGATATTCACAAGTGTCTAGAATGACGAATGGGTGTGTTTGTTTTGTGAAAAGTTCTCTAGTTGTAGATTATGGTTATGTTGAAGAAAATGTTGGCGAATAATAATGGCAGACTATTACAATTTTGTTCAAGTCTAGCCGACCAACTTGTGAATAATTTTCCTAACATAATAATCAAAAACGTCATACATGAGCAGAGAGAGCAAGCAATTCTGACTATTGTGTCTAATATGTTGATTTTCCAAACGTGATTGACGCCAGGTATTTTAAGGGGGAAAATATTATGAATTGGCAACAATCTAACAGGTGTAATTGAAAATGTAGTCGTTTTCGATTTCCTGAAAAACTAACTTTCAGATAGTTCTATTACATTATTTGTATTATGGTAGCTGTCATGATACAAGAAAAAAATGAAAATATACATTTATCTTTTGTATAAACATGCAAAACAGTCTATATGTAGATGGCCCTCTTGACTTGCTTGAGAACCTTCTCGATCATGAAGGGAATCCCGCTTGGGAACAAATAAAGAGAAGGCCATCGTGAACGACAGAAGGTCCCCACTCTCGCTCAATTTATCGAAGCATTTTTCTTCTGAAATCTTGCTTTATTTTCAAATACCGCCATCTACGTCACTGAATTTTCGATGCGACTTTATAATGTCAGGCACATACGACCGTCTTTCTTAATGTTTCTTCTTCATTGTAAATACTTATAAAATCATATAATGCCATATCCCTACTTTATGCGATTAATATCAGCGTGTCTGCATTTAAAAAAAAAAAGTTATCCCATATCACCAATGGAAGGAAACGTTATATTAACTTTAATATTTGGTCACGAGCAAGTAGATATACTACAAAGTACAGTCGGTAAAACACGAAAACACTGTATGAAACGCCTTGGAAAAATAAAGAGGCAGATAACAAATTGAGAAACGCGGGAAAATAACAATACTGTGCAGCAGCTATCAAACATACCATATAAGTAAATTGAGTCAATAGACTTCATGGCCCGAATTCACAAAGCAAGGTTTGAGCCCAGACCAAGGTTTGAGCTCAAACCTCCTTTTGTTCTTTACAAACCAGGTTTGTAAAAAACGGGTAAAACGCGTCATATGACGTACAAAAACCAAAGTTTGTCGACAAACCTCCTTTGTGAACTCGGGCCATTGTGTACTTCTTTAATCCCGTCTGGACTGTGAATCAGGATTTATATGTGTGTTTTATATTCTACGTATACAAACATATCCTTCATGCGTGGATTATATCTCATATCTACTTATAAGTCGATTGTAAATGTTATATGATTCCTAATGGAAATGCATGGGTGGATGCACCCATGTTACGGAGGGGAAGGGGGGGGGGGCTCAGATTATACTACAATGGTTATGTTAACATGTAAATGTGTTCCGAAGGAGTTGAATAAGTATAAAAAGGAAAAGCAGTCATGGCTTCTCCTCCAGCGTCTTCGGATATGCTTCGAAGGGCATCGATAGTACATCTTCTTACACAGTGGGCAATAACCTTTTGGTATTTTGTAAAGAACGGATTTAAATCTGAGCGGCTACAGATCCGATGTCTTGGGCTTACGACTTATCCTCCTAATCGTAACATTCAAATAGATGTAGAACACATTAGCTTCACCTTCGATGATTTTAAAGTTAGAGATAAAAGAGAAAAAGTTTCAAAGAATAGATTCATAATTTATATTAAAGGTGTCGTGGTCTAGTGGATACGTCACCAGGTTGTGGGGTATATGGTTCACGGTTCGACCCCCTGTGGCATTAATCTACATTTGCCTTTCATTGCACCAAGGTGTTAAATGGATACCCGATAATATACGAATTTGTTTAGATTAGTATATATCTAACACGATCGCGACTACTTCCAAAAATCAAAGCAGGGGCAATTCGATATACCTACTGTATGTCCCACACAAATCATTTTCGCACGTTTCAGTAGGTGACACACGAGGCTATAAGGTGGTGAAGTGTGACGTCATCAACAATTTATTTTTAGAATTTCTCTATTTATTCTTCATTTTCCGAAAGAGTATAACAAAATAATGTCCAACTGTCGAAAAACCAATTGAATATATTAAGTATTGGCTGAGATATGACCATCTGAATAAAAAGATTGCCTATAGGAACTCAGTGTTATATGCTCTGGCTCCTAACCACTAGGAGCCAGAGCATATAACACTGAGTTCCTATAGGGAATATATTCATTCAGATGATCATATTTCAGCCATTACTTAATATTTTCAATTGGTTTTCGACATTTGGACATTATTTTTGATGCTCTTTTGGAAAATGAAGAAAAATTTGAGAAATTCAAAAAATAGATTTTTATGACGTCACAGCTTCGGTTCTCTATTAAAATTGCCTTAGATTGATTTCTCGAAAGTAGTTGTGTGCGCTGGCTAAATGGAGCTGGAATACTCCCCCAGGGAGCGGAACGCCCGCCCACCCCCCCCCCCCCACTCAGTGTTATTTAGGGTACGCATATGCTTGTTCCCTCTTTTTGAAAGCACCCCTATCTGAGGACTGCCATCATTTCCGAACCCCCCTTTCGCGGGCTTTTCGCGGGCTTTTCCTGCCTTGGAGACCCCCCTAAATCATGAAAAATGCTCAATGTATCCCCCTAAATTCGGAATAATTTCTCAGGAGTCCAAATAGATGAGAGAAGAAAAAAAAAGAGGAAAAAAAAACACCCCTTTTTAATAAAATAGTAGAGATAATATAGTGATATTGAAGTCGAAACTTTAAAGGTAAACAACTGCTTACTGATTAGGTGACACCATATCTTGAATGGAATAGCAACCCTTTTCAATACGGCATCAGATTTATTGGCAACATGGAGTATGAGGGCATGAATGAACACTTTCTCTCAAATAAACTTTTACAAGAATACATTATAGCTCTTAGTCTGTTTAGATTTAATTGTCACACACCATTCCGGGAAGGGAGAGGTTATCTGAACGAAAGATATTTAATGGAGTAAACCGGGACTGTTGTGAGTGTTGTCTTTATAGGCCATTATATTAGGTTTACCATCAAAATGTACGGTTTGCATCATTGCATGCGATAAAATATACTGCATGGAATACAATACGATACAATACAATAGTAATCTAACAATAAATAAGGGCATATAAACCCTTGTTATATACAAATCCGACACAATCCTCCTGAATACAATCCTATCGAAACGTCGAGCATGAGTGGGTCACCTAATTTGAACCACTCTTGCAAGAATACGTTGTGTAACCCTGAGTTTTGCTCACAACTCGATACAATACTGTTTCTTCCCCTCAGCATATCAATCTTTAGTATAATAGGACGAAGAATAAATTAAATGCAAACCATAAATATTGGTATGTTCTACTTTTGTTTCATTGTATGCGAACATCATTTAACTTGTCAAATCATCTTAAAGCAGGGCTCCCACTTAGCCGAGTTGAAGCCACGAGTTGTGCCGAGCTAGCGCGATCTTATGGCAAGCAGTTTTATCATTAAAACATATTTCTTGATATCACGAAATCGAATTCTTGATTTCACGAATTCAATGCTTGATAACAAGAATTACCATTGCTTTACAAGGTAATTTTTTTTTCTTGATATCAAGAAATATTTGTAATGATAAAACAGCTTGCTATAAGATCGCGCCAGCTTGCCACAACTCGAGGCTCAAGCTCGGCTAAGTGGGAGCCCTGCTTAAGACGTCTTACAGACTTATCTAAAGAAGACTTAATACCAGGTATGAGCTAAAAAATGGATAACAATAGAAAATCACAGCTACTAAGAATACTGCAGGAAAATAAGGTCCTCTTCCTCGGATCAGGACATGGGATGATAAAGAGAAAGGGGATGGGAGAGAGAGAGAGAGAGAGAGAGAGAGAGAGAGAGGGGGGGGGGGAGGGGAGAGAGAGAGAGAGGGGGGAGAGAGAGGGGAGGGTGAGAGAGAGAGAGAGAGAGAGAGAGAGAGGGAGAGAGGGGAGGGTGAGAGAGAGAGAGAGAGGGGGAGGGCGAGAGAGAGAGAGAGAGGGGAGGGTGAGAGAGAGAGAGAGAGAGAGAGAGAGGAGGATGAGAGAGAGAGAGAGAGAGAGAGGGGGGAGGGAGAGAGAGAGAGAGAGAGAGAGAGAGAAAGAGAGGGGGGAGAGATGGGCGTGGCAAAAAGAAACTTGAATCAAAGATGTCACAACATGTAGTGTAGTGAGGAGACTGCCTTGTGCTTAAAAAAGAAAATCAAAATCAAAGAACATGTTCTCTAATTGTCTGTACAAGCTCATGTAAAACTAACCAGATTCCGACAATTGATAATCGATTTAATTGATTCTTTGGAATGCGGTCAACATTAAATAGCGATCACCATCGGTGCCATTCCATTAAAACCGGGTGCTTTGGAATGCTATTTGCACAATAAGAAGTATTGATTTAAGTGACATCCTAAACTTGGAGAAGCAAATAGAGCCCTGATCAGGGTACATTCGATACGATGTTATATTTTTTAAACCTCCATTACCCATTCTCAAACGTTACTTTTTATTAATGTTATTAATGAACTATAAAAATACGTCAACGATTTGTCATGAATAAGGAATGCTACCCATTTGATAGAAATCAGGGGAGAAAGTGAATAGCACTTCAAGGAGAGTTGTCCAACTGACTTATTTGATGGTTGGTTGGTTTACATTCCGATCGTTTTCAATGCTTGACGCTCCGGTGCATCAACTTAATAACGAAGAGAATCTCCCTTTTGTCCAGATCAAACTCCACGCCCAAGACGGTTATTGTGTGGCTTACTCAGGCTATCTGCATAATAAAAGATTCCTCTCAATGAAACCCGTGCAAGGAAATACGGATGCTGTTTCTTCGCTTTCACTGAATAGCCAAGATTTGAAAGCTAAGCCCCCGGTGTTATGAGAGAGTTACGTGTCTAGTGGTTGGTACGTAACGGAGCTATATTTTCCAAGTGTCGTAAGAGCCCTGCTAAAAATGGCTTGATCTTTCCGGTTTAAAGTAATATAACATCTAAGGATACATTTCATGTAGTATTTGAGATCTTCTGTAGAATTCATCACATTGGAAAGGAATATATAAATCTGCAAAGAAAGTTTACGCGTGGGACCAAGCATCATTTGGTGGTCGGTGTGACGTAAAGACAGCCTGAACCCGGACCAATTTTAAGAAGGAGTCCTGCCCATGGCGTAAGTCATGCTCTTCGAGACAATACTAGCATCATCAAGTGTGATATTATAGCATCAACTTCATCTACAAGGATATATCTATTGGAAGAGGGGAACTTAATGTGTGCCCCTTTTGGCACGACAGGTGGAGGACGAAAAGCAATCATGGAAATAAGAACAAATATCAGAGATAAATTATTATTATTATTATTAACGTCGTTATGTGGTGTCTCGCTCTCGGGGTGGGGCACAGAGGCCTACCCAACAGGTGCCCCACCCTCAGCTTGCCTTGATATGATACCTGTAGGACATGGAGTCGACGGACAGACGACAACGAGTCCGTATTCGATCTCGGTGGATATGGCATCGTATTCACCAGGCGGAATTGTAACAGGTGAATACAAAACATCAACATTTGTTTTATATCAAAGTGCAAGTAATCTTGATGTCATTATAAACCATTACTTTACTTTACTTTAGAATATACGTTTGATCAGTCGGAGTCAAGCACTCACATATGTATGCGTGTCATAGCAAATTATGGTATCTTAACGAATGTATTATTATATGATTAATGAATGTATGATCAAAATTAACATTTGAATTGGTTTCGCAAGAATACATTATTACTACTGCTGTAAGATGGCAATATACATTGACATCATCGACCTTTTACTTTTAATGTCAAGTTAGGTACTGTTGCTAGTGATAGGTTGAGACAGTTTCACAAGGAGATGAAAACCAATTGCTAAGAACTTTTTATTCACTACTGATTAAAGCAATATTTTGATCATCATCATCATCATCACCATCATCATCATCATCATCAACACCATCATCATCATCATCATCCTCCTCCTCCTCATCATCATCATCATCATACCTTTACCTTTACCTTTACCGCAAATACTGGAAGAATGCTGAGACAGCAGTCGAGCTTCCAGGTCTATCTTCTTGGTCTATCTTCTTGCACTCATACTCTTTAATAATAATAATTCTCATTATCATCATCATCATCCTCATCATCATCATCATCATCACCATCATCATCATCATCATCATCCTCATCATCATCATCCTCATCATCATCATCATCATCATCATCATCATCATCATGATACGAGGAGAGGTAGATCCTGTAATCCTCGGTCACTTCTTCAGGGTTGGTTATGTTCTTGAGTTAACTTATTTCACATGCGCAGATTTGGGACGGTTTTGATCATATCAAATTAACTTAAATCGAATCGCTCAGACCACAAGTGCTTATCCAGTCTCATTTTGAAGATATCGATTGAGTTCGAGTCAATTATTTCTTGATGATGATGATGATGATTAGATTTATCTTTATTGGTGAAGCTCTTTTTCCTACACAAAATTGATGCTTCTCGTTCTAATACTCTCCAAAGCTCCTAACCGGTCGGATTTTAAAACATTTACTTTATTTGGACTCCAGGAATCTCCAAAATAGTGGAGGGATCAACTAAGAAGAAGTTGGGTACCCTACGAACTTTTGGTCAATTTTTGTGGTGGGGTATTCTAAATTTGCTCCTATTTATGTTTATAACATCATCATCATCTTATGACATGATTCAGTTACATTATATAGTGTAAAACATCTATCCTGATATACAATTTGCAGACAATCGTGATATTAAATCTGATCAAAGAATAGAATCCACATTCTCAGATACGACAATCTGAGGTCTAAAATGAACATCTATCGTTTCTGATGAAGTAAAGAGAGCCATTCTTGACAAATCGTTTTCAGAATCGATCGGATGATTTGAGGGAGGGGCTGCTCTATTTTGAGGTATATTCCTTTGAAATTCAGGCAAATGGGGAAAATAGTAATGGTATGAAATAATGGTTAATTGGAATGATATACGGGTCGGAATCGTTGATTAGTTCTAAAGAGACATGTATTTCCCATTACCAATAAATTGGCAGACTGTTTTTAAAGGCTATTTAGAAAACAAAATAATATTTAAATATATATATATATTATTTGTCCCAAATGTCAAGCAAGTAATATGTGAAACGTAATCAACATGACTTCGTTGTATCATATTTTATTTGATTTCCTTGGTCGCTCTTCATCTCACGAAGATAAGGTTATATAAGCATACCATATTGCGTCCATCAGAAAAATATATGTAGCGTTCAAAATGTATCTGAAACCTTTCGAGCCGTCATCATGAAGAATGACATGCAAAAAAAAACATGTTAGATATTACTTGCTACCATAATTTGACGATATACACACAAGATAGTATCATACTCTGCCCAGGGACTTGTCAACTAACAAGTCCCTGCTCTGCCATAAGAGATATATCCTGCACGGTAGGATCATTCTATGATACGGCCTTTGTCATTACCCTGAGTCAAGTGACATGGAAGAATGAGTTTTTAAATCATTTCCTTGTATAGAGGTGATTTATCCTTTATGTTTGAGCCATTATTGATCAGTTTCAAATAGACAACGTATCAGAACGTCTATGGACCAGTGAGAAATATGCAAGGAATCTGACTTAGTGGAACAGACCACTTGTACTTTTATGTGCACAATGTTATTTGCAGTAACCTTGTCTGAACCCTTCATAGCTGTACGTACCCGTGTCTGTGTTCATAAAGGGGATTGGTTTAGGGTGTACATCTTGCAAGACGAGGAGGAAAATAAATATTTAAATCCCTTTATTTATTTTTTTATTTTTCCTTATTGAAAATCCCAAAATCTGTACGTGTAATCTTTGAAAACTTCCCGAATCACTTCCCTTAGTAAATTGGAATAAATTTACTCTCCTTATATTAATGTTTATGTTATATTCATACTAGTGCAGCATTGAATTAGTCCGAAATAGGTTTGGGCGTTTGAAAGGAAAAAAGACAAAATATTTAATAGTGCATTTATGATAGTACATGTATAAGTATACCCCATTCACAAAGATGAATTGTTGTTATCATCTTGGTGCGTCTCTTGATCTAAACACTGGATGCTGTAGAGTATACCGTCTTGCAGGATGAATTTGGGATACTGCCACAAGAGACGTCTAACTCGGGGGTTGTGTCTACGGATCTGTCGAATGGTTGGCCGCTCACCATTGTTGACGCATTCGATGACTGTACTGATGTCTTGATCTAGTTGCTGTTCATGTTGAACATCTACATCACTGTCCAGGATTACACCACGATAAGGATGAAGGACGTTTGGTGCAGACTGCCTCGTTGAATCATTGGGAGTAGATGCGTCTGTTGATAGTCGTGATCTTGATGAACGAGTCTCGACTGCATTACACAGTGGATTGGTCACCATGTGCTTGAGTAGCTGATCCGTCAATCTTGGAGTGACTTGGCTCTCTTGACTCGGGCGTCTAGATAATGCATCTGCATTTCTGTGTGATTGTCCTTTCTTGTGAATAAGGCTGAACGTGTAGGAATTGAGTTCCAATATCCATCGTGTTCTCTTCCCAGTTGCATCGTCTTGAATTGGGAACTTCCTGAGAGCCAAAAGAGGTTTGTGGTCTGTCAGGATAGTGAAGTGTTGGTGTCTCAGATAATGACGAAAATGGCGAACAGCTGTAACAATTGCCCAGAGCTCTCGATCATAAGTAGACCATTTCTTCTGCGTAGTGCTGAGAGTTTGGCTGAAGTAGGAGATTACACGTTCTCTACCATCTTGAGTCTGTGAGAGGACAGCACCAACTGCATGAAGGGATGCATCCGAAGATAGGATGAACTCCTTTTCAAAGTCTGGATAGGCGAGGAGAGGTGGATTGGTTAGAGCTTCTTTCAGATGTTGAAAAGCCTTTTCACACTCTGCTGTCCATACAAACTGTTGACCTTTTTGTGTAAGGGTCGACAAGGGAGTTGCAATCTTAGAGAAACTTGGCACAAAACGTCGGTAGAAAGATGCCAGGCCAAGGAAGGATCGGACATCAGTCGGTGTCCTCGGCTGAGGCCAGGACTTGACTTTCTCAACGTTGTTTGGGTCAGGTTTCACTCCTTCGGTGTTGATTATGTGGCCAAGATACGTAACTTCTTTCTTGAAAAAGCCACACTTTGAGGGTTTGAGTTTGAGTCCAGCGTCTCTCAATCGTTGCAATACTTCTTGGAGGTTCTTGCAATGATCATCGAAGTCTTTGCCCATGACTATGCAGTCATCAAGGTATACAAGGCATGTAGACCAGTGGAGGCCATGTAGAACGGCTTCCATGAGACGCTGAAATGTCATGGGAGCGTTGACCAGTCCGAATGGCATGACAGTGAACTGGTAAAGCCCTGTGCCTGTGGTAAAAGCAGTCTTCTCTGTATCTTGGGGATCGAGCTTGACCTGCCAATATCCACTTGATAAGTCCATCACACTGAAATATGCTGATGAAGAAAGGGAGTCAATTGAATCATCTTGGCGTGGAATAGGGTGAGAATCTCGAACAGTTACTGCATTGAGTTTTCTGTAATCCACGCAAAATCTGTATGTGTTGTCCTTCTTCTTCACCATGACGATTGGGCTCGCCCATGGGCTGAAGCTCTCTTCAATGATGCCTCTTTGCAGAAGTTCGTCCACTTGCTCCTGAATTTCCACTCTCATTGCTGGTGAAGTTCGATACGCCCTCTGTCGTATTGGAGTAGCTGTGGTGGTGTCAATGTGGTGATGAATAATGTCAGTCTGACCAATATCCTGAGACGTCGTGCTGAAAATATCACTGTATGTCTGAAGAAGATGTTCAGCTTTCTCGTACTCTGTCCTCGTGAGTTCTGAAGAAGGGAGAACACCAGCAACTGGTGACTTGTCTGTCACTTGTGGATCAGTGTCAGTAGTTACGCTCATGATCTTGTATTCCTCTTCGGTATCCCCAGTAATGGAGAAGAATTGACCAAGGCAGGTGTCTGCAGGTAAATCAACTGCTTCGTCAGAGGGATTAATGAGGCGTACCAGAATAAGACCATCTTGAGGCTTGAACAGAGATCTGGCACCGATAACAGGAATGTGATCTTGCAATGTTGGTTCAAAGTAGCCATCGTAGTCTCTTGGTGTGATGTCAAACTGTGGTGACGACAATCTTCCCTGGACATGAGTTTCGCAGCTTGGGGGAATCCGAGCTTGTCCAACAAGAGAAACTTTACATTTCAGCGGGGCTTGGTATTGCTGACGATCGATGAAGGGAATAACATTTCCAGGCATGTTGAACGATGTTGGCGATATGCAGGCATTCTGGCTGTCAATAAAGTCCCATCCAAGGACAACTGAATGAGTGATGTTGCGTGCAACAACGAACTTGTGTTGTGTAGCCTTGTTCCCTAAGTGCAGAGATGGTACGATTGTTCCAATGTTGTCTACCAGCCCACCTGTGATAGTAGATGCCATGGATGTCAACTTTTCCAACGGGCTCCTTTGCG